GTTTTATTTCTTAGGCTAGTCCGCTTTGACCTTGAGCGGCGCGTGCATGATGACGTATTTTGATGGCCATCTTTCGGGCACAACGCCGACGCCGCCTTTTCCCGTAATGGGACATATAAGGGTTTCGCCTTAAAAGGTTCTACATGACTGTAAACGCACTTCCTAGCACTTTTGGTTCATGGAAGCACTTCTGCACGCCTTTGGCTTTTATATTTGTTCATAGAAAGACGACAAAACTTGATCCAACAAAAGCAAAAAAAAAAAAAAAGATTACGGTTTTGTATTTTGGAAGAATTAAAAAAAAAAGAAATAAGAATCAACCCCTTCATTCAAAACGAAGGCTGTTTATCTAAGATAGTGCGACAACACGGCCGCAGTGACCCTGAGCAGAATGACAGCGCGAAACTTAAAGCAGCTGAGCCGCTTCATCCGTCCGCCAAGAGGTGCAGATCTGAAGGAGGAGCACCGGTGTCATCCGCTAAACATTTGCTCGCAAACAGACATGCATCGCGCCTTGGCGGTTCAACTACTGTCTTGCTCAAGATGGCGCTCGAAGAAGCGCAGCCTTAAACTGTCTTTATTTGGCCTTCGGGATTACGAATATCAAAATTATATTTGAGATTGACGTGCTAAGTAGCCACAACAGCGCTTCTAAAATAGCGCTGAAGCCCCTCCCCGTCGCGTTCGGTGCTAGGGAATCATGGGTAAAGGGGAGTTCTCACTCCGGAGTTGGAATGATTCCGGAATCATTCCGCACTTTCCCGACCTCGGAATGGAATAGGGACGGAGCGGCGGCCGTTCTGGGGGGAATGGTATGGGAATGGAGTACGATGCCTCTTTCCCGGAATGGAGTGGGAACGGAATTGGCGCGGTTCTTGTGCGGGCTGTGTAGATTTTCACATAGGGCCTACGGACTTACGGTGCAGTTCGCTAGTGCATTGTAAGTGGATCTTGGAACAACATTATTGCAATAGAGGTAATTGGCTGCTTGATTGTATCACTGCAGGCTTATCCTTCTTTGATGATGAAAATGGCGCGCCTTCAGTGAAGCAGCCAAAACTGAATAGATATGGATGGACAAGGTGTCGTTCATGGCGCCGCAAGACACGACAAAGTGGCTGTTCTAATCATGCGCTATTTGCATGTAGCTTTTAAACAGGCTACTGAACCGAACCGCAAACTGGAGTATTTTTAATGAACCGAAACAAGACCGTTACTGTGATCAAACATGCGATATCAGGGACTTTTAGCGAACCGTTACCGTGTTCCGCGTACTGCACTAAAGGAGTCTTTGAAGTATGCTTTTAAACGTGCCCCCCGCGGTCACGGTATCACTCGGGCGCACGCTTAAACGCATGTTTTGAACGCTCATGTAGTGCGTTACGCGGAACACGGCAACGGTTTGCTAAAAGTCCCGATTTAGCCCGAACTGGAACGGAACTGTATTCTCGTGGGGCGGTTATCGATTTATTGGAAACTGTTCGGCGCAATCAAATGTGGTCCGTGCCTTCTTGAGGGTGGCGGCGCGAAGTCAGTGAAAAATTCGCAACGGTGGCGTCAGCGGATTAGTTTCGATTCAACAAACTGCAGCGACGACATAGTGACAGCTCAATAACAATGCAACAAATAAGTATATTTCACGTCTACACGTACAGCACGAATCGGCATCGGCTAGTCGGAGTGAAGGCGGACACTTTTATGGTTGTTTCACTTTATCATTGACCGCATGAGGACGCTACGAGCCACAGGAGCCAATTCATAGCCCAAAGGCCGTCACGTGTTCTTCCGGTTGGGCGGAGAGACGCGGAAAGCGAGAAGTAACGAGACGAGCATCGAACTGCGGGTTGGCTCGTATAGCTCGTAGCGCCTATGAGCGGTATATTGTAAGGTGAAACGGAGTATATTAGCCGCGACATGTTTTGGTGGCGCCATCCTATGGTATCCTCTCGTGACGTCCTTACCTTGCGGAAAACAAGTTTGGTGGAGCTTTTAATTAGCATGGTGGAAGCTGGGAATCATTCCGCTCTAAAAGCAACACTGCCAACACCGTCAAGATTCAAGTTCTCACATTCCTCTTACTTCCGTCGAAGTGAAATCTTTTGCTGACGTCGTAGTCAGCATTCGACCAATCGTGGGAGGCTGACCAGAGCGACGCTTTTGATGGCGCACGTCGCCAATGTTTGACTATGCCCAGAGTCTAAAAAAGCTATTCTTCATACGCGTGCGCGTGCGCTAGCGTTTGTGTGTGTGTGTGTATCTGTTATTTTCTTTCTGCTAAGCATCATTCCCCCAGAATGGGGAAAGAAAACAAAAACATGAAAATGAATACAAAGTGACGAGTGGCGACGACGACAAAAAAGCGAATTCGCGACGAGCGCGAGGCGTCGGAGCGGGACTCCATTCGCCCAGAACCCATGGACGCTGCTTGTGTGGGTCTGTGCGCGCTTGCTAGAAACAACAAGCCGCCCGTTATATTTCTTTGCCTTTCTTGTTTTAATCTTGTTTCGACGGACTATCGATGTCTTTTTCGTCTTGAATTCAGTTTGAGAAAGGCGTTCGGGCGTGAGGTGCGGGTAGTTTGCAGTTTCGATCTGGAAGAGCATCGTATACCGGCGTGTGGTCGTGTGTCAGTACTGCGTGATACCGTTGAAGACCCCACGTTAGCAGTCGTGCTGCACTGAATAAATTTCTCATCTGGAATGGGTAACATTGTCACTAAACTCTGGATGACTAAACACCTGCTTTCTGAGCAACTAACGACTTATTTGTTTTGGGCGGTAGTTCACGAGTATGGTCAGTGCTACCGTAATAGTGCCACTGCGCGTGTTGGCTCATTGACTTCACATGTGAGTACTCTACTTTAGCACTGTTTCCAAGCGCCTGTGTAAACACGGAAATTTCCTCAAACGGTGTTTTCGTTAAACATTCAAGATCAGAAAAAACAAAATTAAGCATATATTTGTTTTGCTGCCCTCGTTTCGGCAGCACTGCTTGTGATGACCCAATTTTTTTTAATGCAGTTGACGTTGTGTTGAACTAGCCTTTTCTTCTGAACAACTGGAAGCTGTGTACGTTTTTTTAAGAACCGGTTGAAACTGGTTTGCCTTTGATGGAACCGGTAACCGAACGATTATTTTAAAAGCATCACTGAACCAGAACCGAACTTGGACAAAACCTAATTCTATTGAACCTGAACCGAAGCAGAAAAATGTCCGCTTCGACTCCCTGCCTTTAACCCAGTCGATCTTCTATAGTGTTTGCGTGGGACACAAATAAATAATTACATTGAATATGTCAGGAAATAGCAAGAATCATGAAGCAAACGTAGTAGTTTACGTGTTAAGTCAGGTTCCATCATATGCTGCTACACTCCCTCCTTGTGCTGGCGTGGTATAGCGATTGCACTTTGTCAGCGGCTTTCTGCTATTGTCGCAGTGCATGGAGAATCGAGGCAGGTATAAGCGGCGTCGCTCCTGGCAGCGCACTAGCGGTGCTGTTGTACAAGTATTCGAAGCAGAGAGCAAGGTAACTTTTTTTTTTCGCCACGCCCAAACTAGAGATGTTTAAGACCTTATTAAACAAACAACACGCTAATCATGTATCTGTTGAATGTATACGATCCGTTATTTGCGAAGAAAATGGGTGGTTTTAAATTTTTGGCGCCTGTCGCCACTAACCTCTTACGCTTGATCACGCGATTAATGTCTGCAGTGGCACGGAGTGTCACAAAGCGCTTTGTGCGACCACCCTTCGGCTGAGTAGAATGAGTGATTTGATTAAGCTTTTCCAAACTTTTGCAGTCGTCTCCGAATTCGATAACTTCGGCAGCTTTATGGTGATATTTTTTTTTTCAGTAACAAAATGTGGCTGTTAATTAACATTTTTTCACGCTTGGGAATTAAATGAATGGAATGGTCGAGTTTAGCTGTTCCAGGAGTGGGGATGGACCCAGTGTTTTCATTCCGAGCAGTTCAAGGGAATGGAACTGTTGGAAGCTCTAATTCCCCGTGTTGGAATTGGAATGAAATGGGGGTGCCCATTCCGCAACCATGGTTGTCGACGTCACCGTATTTTGCGGTTGTTTTAAGCCTTGGAAGAGACGTCTCGATATCTTTATTACATCATGCGAAAAGCACTTTGAAGGCGACTAAAATTTAAACGGGAATATATAAATACACTATTTAATGGAAATAAATTGTGTATTGTGTGCCCACCTTGCATGCTTGCGGTAAAAAAATCACAAAATTTCTGAAACCAGAAAAAAAATGCTTTTTTTGGGGGTGTCAACCGAACGAAATCTGAGAACATATTCTATGGTTTGTTTTATTATAAACAAAAGATTAAAAAGACCTCGTATGTCATGTGGAAGGCAATGACGTTGCACGTGGTATCAATATGAATCCGGTATTTTGGGGCAAAAATTGGTCGCAGTAGCGTGTTTTTTAGGAATTTAAAAATATTCTAGGCTCTAAATTCCGAACATAAGTTTTGATATCTTAGTAAATCTTATATATATTACTCTCAAAGCATATCAAGTATCTACCGCTAATAGTTTGAGATCGAGCTCTTATCAAAGTTGCCAGGGATGCGAGCTCTAAAAAGCGAGCCGTCCTTCTCTGATCATTCGCGATTTTATTTCTTAAAACAATGCCTGAACTTTGAAACATAAAGTGTTGTCTTCCCTTTTGCACCTGCCACGACATATAAATGTTTCAATAAAACTAAATATTATGAACATTCCAGTGCCCCAAATGCTTGAATTAAAATGAAACCGTTTAGTTGCACCCCTCGTAGCTTTCCTACCAACGTTTAACAAAGTTCGTTACACCAACTCAAAAAGACGTGACGGCCAGCTCGTATTACTTTAGATCGGCAGTATTAAGACGGTCTACAAAAGGCTTGGTATATTCTGAACTCCAAGTGGTAATAATAAGGTCAATCTTAGAGTGCTGTCTTAAAGTATTTATTATTAATCGCGGCATAAAATGAATTTGAAGGTGTTATTTTGTTTTCATGAGGGTACACGTGTCAACTTTGTTCATTTCTGCGTACATCGGGCATCCAAAAGACTTGGCGAACGGGTGAAAAATGGCCAGGTTGTAGTTGACTCTGCAAAAGTACACGAAACACTTTAGTGAAAGTTAAAACGGAGGCAGGCTTGCTTTATTTGAGGGGTCAGCGAGAGAAAAAGAACGCGTGTTTCTCGAAGCCAAAATAAACCAGGTATCGCAGAATGTGCCGTCCATATGTAGCACTAGCTGTCGGAAGGTGCCAAAGTTTTATATTCGTCTATCATTTGATTAAAACTTATAAGCGATTTTCAGAAATTTGCAGTGGGAAAACAGAGGCCAATTAACAAAAGTCGGGAATACATAGAGAAGAATATAGTGCCCACTACTAAAAACTGACCTTATTTGTTCACGAAATATTATCATAAAATTTTAATTACGTTCGAATCAGATAATTTTGATATTTTGACATCTGGTCCGGACCGCGAGCTCTACATTTGGGTGGAGGCCGAGTGTCTCACAATGCGCGGTAAAAAAATGTTTCGGTGAAAAAACAGTTTATTGTTTTATGAAACACCCAGTTGTAATTTTATTCCCGAAGAGCAGGATACAAATGAAAAAACCTAAGTTCGGCGCTTTTTATTTTTGTCCTTAGTTTCTTTGGTGAAATTCCCCAAAATACTGTTCACAGTAATTGTTTCGCGTGTTCAACAGCGACCTTACATCGTGCATTTTGATTTTATCTAATATGCAATATATATAATGTTTTGATAAAAAATATCCTTTTTGAAAAGTTGGCGTTTTTTATCAATTTGATTCCAACAAAAATATTGATATTTCTTTAGAAACAAAGTCGTAAATTTTACTGCGTAAAACCGAAATATCAATTGTCCATAGATGCTTAGCAAGAATCAGACTTGATAATTTTAGTTCTGTTCACAGTTTGATAATAATATTAAATTGGCTAGGTGATCGAGGCGTAGCAAAAGTCTAATCAATTAATTGTCATATTGAATGGGTTAAAACAGCGCAAAAAGACGAAGGACCAGTAAAAGAAAACACACAGACACAGCGCTGACTTACAACTGAAATATTTACTGCTGCGCCATTCAGCAAGTAAACTTGAAGGAAGACAAACATAAAAGCAATCGGCCCGAAAACACGTCATCCTCCACTCAAGCCGACACGTGGCTACACGTGTTTCCCCGCCTTTCTGATAAAGTTCATTTCGTCACTAACTAGAGCAAGTGATGGAACACTAATACACTTGCCTGCGTCATGGTTGGCAATAAAAAAAGCTTCGTCAATCTCCCGAGCATACTTATTTTTATGTCGGGCTAAAATCTTAATTTCATTAAACATTGGAGAGCACGCACATCTGTCACAGTGGACCGCTAGGTTGCCAGACGGGTAGGAGCGTAAGGACAGAGAATGTTCTTTCGCCCGGTCGTTAACACATCTCCCCGTCTGCCCAATGTACACTTTTCCACAGGACAATGGAATAAGGTACACCACCCCACACGCGCAGGCGACAAATGGGTTGCGGTGCTTAACTTGACATTGTATACCCACGCGGCCACCTCGATTCACGGCTGCACACAGCCGCCCCAACTTAGCTGGAGCCGAAAACACAACTGGCACGTTGTACCTACTGGCAACCTTCTTGACACCATGGGACACCTTGTGCATTTATGGCAAGACCACAGGTCTTACCGTTGGTTTTTGTCTTGCCTCAGTACTAGCAGGGCCTCTAAACACCTTAACCAAGGATTCCACGACGCCCATGACAACTCCCAGAGGGAAACCAGCATTTGACAACCTCGCGACTTGCAACAAAAAACTGTCACCACACCTATGGTGGCATGACTTAAACAAGGAGGTACGGAGGCTGGACAGTGCAATGGCTCTTTTCACTGTCTTAGAGTGCGCGGATTCATACACTAAAAGCCCCTGTTTAGACCTAGGCTCATAGGCCCAACACAAATGCGAGGGCTCACATCGAAGATTGATATCTAAAAATTGTAGGGCTCCCTCAGAAGTGGTCTCAGCCTTAAAGTTTAGTCCCGGAGAACAATCCGTAAATACATGTAATATCGAGGCAATCACACTTTCTATGTCTGTGTTATCGTTGCTTTTCAGCACAATCAGGTAGTCATCAACATACCTCAACACTTTGACCACCCTATCGTCCAGCCGCTCAGCAATTGCCCTATCACACTTAGCCAAATAAATGTCACTGAGTACGGGCGCAACATTCGACCCAATGCATATGCCGCTCTTTTGCAAAAACGTGTTGCCTTCAAATGTAACAAAGGCGGACGCGAGGTAAAAATTCAGTATTTCAAGGAAAAAAACACTCGCAATCCCACAGGAACTCGAGAAGGCCACAGCCCCAAACGTATCAATGCACTCCTCCACGGCCTGCATGAGCTCAGAATGGGGAATTGCATAAAACAAATCTTCCACATCAAACGAAACCAGCTGACACGACCCAGGATTATCTTCCCGTAGATAATTAACCAAGGCTTCCGAATTGCGAACAACCTAGCGGTCCATTGTGACAGATGTGCGTGCTCCCCAATGTTTAATGAAATTTAAGATTTTAGCCCGACATAAAAATAAGTATGCTCGGGAGATTGACGAAGCTTTTTTTATTGCCAACCATGACGCAGGCAAGTGTATTAGTGTTCCATCACTTCCTCTAGTTAGTGATGAAATGAATTTTATCAGAAAGGCGGGGAAAGACGTGTAGCCACGTGTCGGCTTGAGTGGAGGATGACGTGTTTTCGGGCCGATTGCTTTTATGTTTGTCTTCCTTCAAGTTTACTTGCTGAATGGCGCAGCAGTAAATATTTCAGTTGTAAGTCAGCGCTGTGTCTGCGTGTTTTCTTTTACTGGTCCTTCGTCTTTTTGCGGTGTTTTAACCCATTCAATATGACCATCAACCAACTCGCCCAACTTTCCACCTTGAGTCAATTAATTGATTTAGTGTACGTACCTGTTGGCGTCAAAATTAATGTCACCAGCATTTGTTTCCATGGAGTCGCAATATTTCTAAAATAATATGTGAATGAATAATACAAGTTATCAGTTACGGTTTCGAGTATGCGCAATGGCTAGGTTGTGATCGATTGCCCAAGATGTACAAACAACTCACCCGCTGGGACATATCTGCGCGAAGAACGCGATAAAGAATTTGACTTTTTTTCCGAAACTCGGTATAAACGTTTCAAGCGCTTATCACCACGGCTAAAAATGCCTAGTCAATGGGCAATGAAGCCATGCGCGGCGTGTGATATTTCGCACAAAATGAGTACTGCGCAAGTCCTGAATACTTTCGACAGCCGAAGGTACCAATATGCTAGATCGCAGCGGACGATTATTGGAAGAGTGTTTTGAGATAAAGTTTAACCTCGGTTGATGCTGAGAGGCCCCAAGCGGTATGGAAGGTATATTTCTTTTCTCGACCCTCAGATCTGGTTTTCGAAAAATCTAACCAACTGTCTGCGGCGCGCGAGGTATAAACTGTTTGCTTCATTGTAATCAAGAATGAAAAACTCTGCCTTTGAAGAAAACATTTAGGTAATTCCACATACAGCTAATTTAGGCTTGATACGGCATAGGACAACCTTCTCTACATGGTAGAAATGACAGAACTTTCACGGCTGTTTTTCCGCGGACGCAATATTGTGGCCATTTCATACTCCACGGCCTTCGTAGCGGACCTTCGACACACTTTTTGGTAAAACATATATCATCGAATTCGTTTATCCATCATGTTTTTCATTACAGACAATGTGTATCGAGAAGCTATTCTGTATCTACTTCTTTTCTGCTAATTTGGTGACCTGTCAATTTTAATAAAAATATTTAGTGTCTCGTCTTGCAGTTTGTCATCTGAACACAACAAGCAACATAGTGAAAGTACTTTTTAATCGTCATACTCATATTACTTGGCTCATAAAAACAGTGTTGGGAATCTTCAGTCACCCTAAAGTTTTACCTAATCCTTGAGCTGGTCTTGTTTGAATAACATATGTAGATATTTTGTTCGGCATTGTTATTTAACTATATTTTTATCATGTGGAGCATTTGAAAAAGAAAGTGATTATATTTAGTTTATATCAATCCTTTTTTCTGCTTGCCCAAAATCATTCGATATCCTGGACCCCGTGCTTTTTTCTTCTTGTGTCTTGCATTATAAAAAAAATTCGAATTCGTTTATTTGCAAGGTGCAAAATTTGTGTTTATCTAGTGTCCAGGAATAAGCAAACATTTTCTTATCACGTACATGAGGTCAGCGGTTGCATAAGTAACTTACCAGGGCATACGACGCAAAAAGCAATTTTTCGTCACAAAGGTCAAAAATGAGAGGCAGACGGCTTTCAGTTCTTGATAACCAGCTTTTGTAGGCCTGTATTGTGTCAATATATTCATGAAACAAAACATGTATTCATGGTTAAAAGTGAACACAATATTGACAACACAAAATTATGATGCCCTTTTTTGTTAGATACAGAACCACAAATTTCTACTTCAAGTTTCTCTAACATTTTAAATTATCAAATGCCATTACTGTGAATCTCGCTCAGAGCTTCCGTTCCATTATAAGAGGCGAAGTATCCAAAGGATAAAATATTGGTTTTCCCAAAAATTATTTTATGCATAATGGCAATCAAGCTACCTAACATCACGAGTATTTCCCACTTTTCACGCAGACGTATGCTGCAAGCAGTATGACGTACGCCCACGAGGATGACTTCTACTTTTCTTTCGCGTAATTAACTGTCCCGTAGATCGCATATATTTATAGTTGTACAACACGCCTTTTCTAAACCAATAATTTCCGCAATTATGAATAAATCTCTTTCGGATTTTATGCATTTAAAATTGATAAGCCAGACTCCAATTATGCCAATCATCCCAATGTGTTTACTTATTCTTTTTCTAAATAGTTTGCAGATGCCAGCAATTCAGTATATGCTTTTATTTTAAAGGAAAATCTAAAGGAAAATCAAGAATATAAAATTAGTAGTTGAAAACGTTTGTTGTATGTTCTTATATTTTGTCATGGATGAAGAAATAATGAACAATTAAAACAGGGACAACACAACTACATCTTTCATGAAAGATGTAGTTGTGTTGTCCCTGTTTTAATTGTTCATTCTTTCTTCATCCATTACTTAAACCAACACGCTCTTCTACCAAGCAAGCTTATATTTTGTGGTGCGTAGTTCTTGCATTTCTACAGTATTAACATCTATACACAATCTGTAAGCATGTGGGTCTCATATTTGGCCATAATTATGCGCCAATTGATTTTTTTCATAATGTCTTTCAATGTGTTAATGCAAATTATTGATATTAATTTTTTATGTCCCTATACATTAAAAAATGTGTTTTATAGATGGAAAAATCTGTTCAGCATAAAGTTAGCCCTGTCAACTGCACGTGATTCTTCCGTATGAGCTAGCTTATTGAAAAAAAATATAAAATACTACATAATTATTTTATATGCGCCTATGATCACTGTACAGAGTGTGCGGAGGTGAACAAAGGAAAGTAATGACGCAACTTTCTGGGGGGGGGGGGGGGGGAGGGGGTATTTTGGTTCTACAGGGGTATTGTTTTTGCTCTATTTTGAGAACCATCAGTGATTAGCGCATACTTTAAATGTCTTTCTGGAGAGGGCTATCCTCGGTACGTCCTGACATTTACTTATACGGGATCGACATGCCTTCCTGAATCCTTGGGTGAAAATAAAAAGCGCTCGTTCCTCAAATAAATGATAAATCTGCCGAAGGTATTGGGGGCGAATATTCAGAATTACCTAGTTGATTAGCCTGGTCTATATGCTCGAAAACATTTTAACTTCTACAAATCCGTAAACGTGTTCAACTACTTCGTGAGCGGTAAGGCAGCGAAGGTGGACACCTTCCCAGGCGCCGTAGATACGCGCCGAGCTTCCCCGCAGGGGTCGCTGAGCCGCATCTTGGTTTTAGCGGACAACCTTCCGAAAGGTTTTGTTGCGCTTCCTTTAGCGCGATTCGAGTTTCTGCAATGCAAACTTTTATAGTGTTTTAACTTTCTTGCCCTGCTATTGAAGGTTTCTTTCCCAGATCACCGTGCACAATGCAGTTTTACGTGCCGTAATGGTCCATCGATCGTTGTAAGGAGATGGAGGATCGAGGTGCACGGGCGCTGGTGCCGGATTCTCGAGATCGTCGCGTTGCGTATTTTGCGTCCCTCGTCTCGAGATAATCCAAATATCTTCACTTGTGACATCTTGTTCCTGCCAGTACACTTCGGCAACTTAAAAACACGGCACTAGGGTATTTATAGAGAGTTGCTCCAACGGAATTCCTCGCTAGTGAATCAAGATTTGTGGCGCATCCACCAAGACACACAGTAAACATGGAAGAACCGGGAGTATACAAATATGGCACGCCTGAAAAAGGCACTGCCTTTTCAGATGTGCCATGTCTGTATGCTCGACGGAGGAATCGCTCCGAAAGGAGGTGTGCAAGATCAAGGCCGATCTTCAAAACAACGGCTACACTATAATATTTATCAACACAGTATACAAGAAGCTGCACCGTCCCGGTCTCTTCACGGCCCCGGCCCCTTCGAGCCGTATTTGCCTGCCATACGTAAGGAACGCCAGCGAAACCATCGGACGCACCCTTCGCAAGTATGGAATCGCGGTCACTAACAAACCAATGACAACCATCAATCGCCGGCTCCCCCTTCCCAAAGACAGACTGTGAAAGGAGAAGTCTCAAGGTCTCGTCTACCGCATCCCATGCGCGGACTGCCCTGCTGCCTAGGTGGGAAAACAAAGAACTTCGCGGAACGCATCCGCCGCCACAAATACGACGTGAAGAAGAATTACGTCCAAGCCAATGCCCTCGCTGAGCGCGCCGAAAAACTGGGTCACAGCGTGTCCTTCGACAAGAGCGAGATTCTGACCACGGATAAACAGTGGCGTAGACGCATGCACCTGGAATCCTGGTGTATCTAAACAACGAAAGAAAACTTCAACAGATCATCGGGTACTCTCCCAAGCCTATATGTCTCATGGACTTCGTCGCTTCACGGAAAAACACGGGCGCAACCTTCCGAACCGGGTTTCAGCTCTGGATGCTTTTGATGGAGATGAAGATGAAGATCATTAAGATGATATAGATGAAGACGACGAAGAAGATTCACTCAACCCATAGTCACCCGTGACGAAGGGACCAAGCTGGCCCAGAGACGTAGGGCATTTTGTTTTTATTCAATCTTGGTTAGAGTTTAAAATTTTTCAGTCAGTCTATTTATTTCCTAACCAGACAGATCTCCGTGGGATATGTTTACACTGCACTAAGTTGGAAACAATTACGAATACAAAAACAAATAACAAAGAATAAGACTCATGTGACACTTTAATAGCCCAGATGTTATTCCGGAGGAATGCACATTTCCCCACTTATTCCGAAAGCTAGTCTTGATTCATTCGTTACCATCAAAAAGTGCCGTCTCATCTAGATATGACTAACAAATTTAAGTGTTACTATCAAAACACTAGCGGTATGGGGATCAATCAAGATGAATGTCTGCCAAGTGTCGTTTCTTTAGACATACGTATTATATTTTTCACTGAAATGCGGTTGTAAAATAAATCCTAAATTTCAGTCAATTTTCATTGTTTTATACTTTCTATCGTAGAGACTGAGTCTACGGAGCGACAGGGCGGAAATCGTACCAATTCCCGTACGCAATTCGCTTAATTCGCTAAGGGCAAGGAATTCGCATTCCCATGACGAATGTCTCTAGATTAAATTGTTCTCTAATGATGGATATAAATATAATATTCTAATTTACGACATTCCTTCTCTCCCAGGTCCAAGTCCACTTGCCAACCATCTGCTAGAAACGCTTGACCACTATGTTGATCTTTTGAAACTTCGGATCATGCCTATGGTGATATTAACCTTCATGGTGCAAACTGGTCCTCTGGTGTGATGCTGAGTAGAAGCACTCAAACAGCAGTAAAACTAAGCCACTTGCTATATCTTAAAGTTCTTAACCAGTTTACTACGCACAATCGGTTAGAGCACTGTCCTGGCATTGTCCTTGATATGTTTTTTTAATATGTTCGCACTGAAGATTTTGGGATCGTGCGACACCTATAGGGGGGCGGCTCTTCGGCTTGACAGCGCCACAATTGACAGCATCCACGTTACTTCGCATATAGGGACGCGCCGCCTGCTTTGATCTATTCTAATGCGACCTCAGCGCCTTGGTCGTGTCTCTGCCTTCCCGCGGCCCGGTTTCTCGATCTCGCTCCGATGTAAAGGTTTGACATCTTAACATCCCAAACCTACCCACGTCCAGCATTGCTCTGTTTGTGTTTTTATTGGACCGGCAGGAATCGCTCGGAGCTTGAGTTCAACCGTTTGTCCCGTAGTTGTACGTGGATACGACGGCAACACACTGCCACATCTTTCGTTTATCTGCACTGGAAGATGCCTCTACAAAGCGTTTGTAAAGCGCTTGTGCATTCGACGGCCCGTGAATCACTACGAGACGACATTCATCTGTGCAAGCATTTGATAAAGTATACGTGACAAGTATTTTCGCTCCTCTTATTAACAGATTGCTCTTAGCTCACCGTCGGATTGAGTGGACGTACTGCGATTAAAATGAGCTCGGCGCTTTTCACTAGCGCGTGGAGGGGGTCTGTGTTATCAATTTAGAGCTCCGGTGGAAAAAATAAGTTAGCGCCGTATGTGGACCCGAACGTTTTGTACAGCGCAGTGCTCAGGTAACCTGGCATTGATTAGAAAAGTTGCCGCTACCCAACGTGTCTGTGGCATTACGGCCGTGGTCTATGCGAAATGTTTCTGCTATACTCCGTTCACCCCTAAGTTGAGGCTGCAGTGGAAGCTACGTCCTCGTTGGACCAGTCATACGCCTCTTTGGCCATGTCATCACGCTTAGGGCCATGCCCCGCGCGTGGAGAGACGGGTCAGGTGATAAGAAGGAGGCGGCTGATTGGTCCGGCAGGCACGTAGCTCCGACCTTAGTACCAGCTTAAGGGCTGAATGGAGTATAGGGGCCGCACCGTGGTGCCACTATCGTTTCACACCCATCAATTAATGACAGTTGATAATAATTTTGTAAAACCTGAGGTGTTTCATACGCCTTTCATCCTATTTTTGCGACTTGGAGGGGAGGTCCTGTGCCCGACAATTTTTTAACATTTACTACTGCTGCACTATTGATTAATAATGGTTATATATGTTTCTTTGAGACTACAGATGATCGATGGTTCTCAATGATGAGTGCCAATTCTGCAGCTGAATTGGTCCAGGCAAAAATATACGTCTTGCAATCAGTTCTCTCTATCTTTCTCTCTCTCTCTATGTGCGAGTGATTCTTTCACCGATGTAGCACAACATGCTATCAACTTGTTTATTCCCATTGGTTTGACTAAATTCCTTATTTGGTTTCCGAAATAATTGATACCTTATATACATTAAAATAAAACTGTTTCGTGAACCATTTAGGTTAACCGGCGATAGGGTATGGTGCATAAAATTTAGTCTTTATTGAGCGGTTGTAAAGAAACAGTTTACCTTGTCAAACTATATTTAAAAAAAAAACGTAATGGAGCCTATTCCGAGGACGCAATAATTTTTGCAACTTTTTCAGGCAGCACACATAATAGTCAACGACAAGCAATAATTTGCACACTGACCTTTATCATATAAGTTCTACTGAAAAAGAACCCGATATTTTTTTTTAATTTACTTTAATTAACGTGGTAAAGATCAAATGAAAAAAACGTATTTTTTTTTTGTAATATGGAGGGCAACGATATTTTTACAGATAATCAAGTTGGTGACACCGAAATTTTGAAGGCGATAAGAACGTTAAATTTCGAGCGTTCTTTCCGTGCAGAGCCTACACTTTGTGTCATTTGGAAAAGCGGCGCTGATTCGTTTGCCTCTCTACTGAAGTGTGTATTTAATATTTAATTGAGCAATGGTGATTTTCTATCGTGCAATTCGTCGAGTGTAGTGCCGCAACGCAAGGCCGGTGACGTGTCCAGTCATAGATTTTTAATGTCCTGTTTTCCTATCTTTACTTTCTGAAAAGTATTGAAGTGAGCTAACACACCTCGCAGGTTTTCACTTAAAAGGTCCGATACCAATCTCCATACAATAGTTTTTTTTTTAATTGCGTACTATAGAACCCCACATTTGTACACCTCCCGAACGCACAGTGCATGTTGTTTCAGGAAAAAGTAGCTAATATTTCTTTTGATTTGTATGATGTTGATAAAGTCGACTACGAATTCATTTTCTATAAACTTTCATGTATGATGTAGCGTTCCCGTTTTTAAAGTGGTTGGACAGCTATCGAACAGTAAGAAATCACCAAAGTCGCGTACATACGTCAGTCGAATGGTCTATCATATGTTCCTCTACCAACTTCGGTTGTAAAACAAGGATCAAACTTAGGATCTGTTCTTTTTTTTAATGATATAAAATTGTGCAGAAAGAATGAGCTTTTGCTTTTGTTTGTGGATACCAAGTTTTATATATAAATTAACTCGGCAAATCACTGAGCGCTTTTCCAAGAGTATGTGTCGCGTATCTGAGGCTGGTATTCTACAAACTTCTTAGTTATTAATACAAATAAGACAAAAATGCTACTTCTGTACAGACAAAGAGAAATGCTTATAATTCTTTAAGATACTTGTATTACTCACCATATATGTAACGTGCAGTCCGATATAATCAGAAAAGTCGATTGCAGCAAAAGCTTGGAACATGAACTGGAAGAAATTTATTAAATTTAATTGGCAACAACGTATCTATTTCAAGCTCCTTCCTGCTGCAACCCCTACAAGAAATTTGCAGCATTTTTAAAGAAATAAACGACTAAAACACAAATACTTTAGCTAGAAATTGCTCCTTCATGGAAAAATACAAGGCTAATTCCCCAACTCACTCTGCTTTGTTTGTCGGTAGAAACTGAATAAAATTAAAGATCGAAAATTTATGGCACGTTCACACTGGAAGCGGATCCGCAAACGCGAAGCCGATCAGCGCGTTCTCAACCGCAAAGGGGCTAGGATCGAGCGGTTGGAGCGCGTTTTTGCCAACCGCTTCGGGACCGATTTTTCCCAACCGCTTTCACGAACCGCAAAGCGGCAACCAATCACCACGCGACGCTGACGTGACGTCAGTGACTTTCGAAAGAAGATGGCACCCTTCGCTGGTGAGGTGTCCAAGGTGCTGTAGTCCTAGCACTGTAGTCCTAGCTTTCGACAAATCAACGGAGAAACGTGATGTTCACGTCCGTCACTTGGATCCGCCGCGAAAAGGATTGAATAGTAATTTTAACGGGCTTCGTACCGGTGATTTGGTTCGGGTAAGAGTTCGTTTATTATTTCGGGTGCCACAGCCCAAGCTCGCTCGCTGCCTTGTTACTCTCTGCCCATAGAACTTCGGAACCCGCCCCTGATCGACCGAAATGTCAGTGTTCCTACCCACTAAGATAGTGGCGTGAACTATTGAAAGCTTTCGACAGCATGCGTGACCACCACGAAGGACGATAGAGACGTCGTGAGCTTGATTGCATAGCCAACGTACTACCGCGGAGCGGGCAGGTTACCTGCGCTAGCTCGACCTGGAACGTTTACTTCTGCCTGCCACCTGCCAACCTGTGGACTTTCAAATTCGTAAAACCCCCGCGGCTCCGGGAGGAGGGGGGGGGGGGGGGGGGGGGGAGTGGAGATTCCAGTCATCTAGCGGCTGGAGACTCAGCGTGGTCGGTGTGCTCAGGCGTCCGGGCGGCAACAGTGCCGGATTCTGACGGAAGCCGAACGTTTAACACGCCAGAAACACGATCTTGAGGAGCACCAATAGAATTAGACATATGTTTTTTTTTTCTGTTACAGAACTGAGGCAATGTTTTTGATCTTCCGTTTTTATTGATGTTTGCCTCTTGGTGTATATTGCTTTGCCCCAATATCTGCGAAAATCCCAATGGGATTGGCAGTATTATGAAATAAATAAATAAATAAATAAATGTATAATGAGGAACGGCGTATACTTTCTTGCAACTAGCAACAGTACAATAAAGCCACAGCGATCTTTTTCGGAATCATACCCCACGGTGAAAGACAAAGAGAGACACTTGGCATGGGGATGAGACAAAAAAAAAAAAAAGATATCTTGAAATTTTAAAATCAAATTAGACGATAAAAAGAACGGGTAACTCGGCGGTAAAGACTACAGCACTTCTTAAAATTATGGCCAAAAGGCTATGTCTATTCCGGAGAAAAGAACACAATCTCATCTCGAGCTAAACAAGTGTCGGAGCAGACAGATTGTTATCGACTTCGTTCAAGGTGAGTTATTCTATCATATCTTGAATTTTTAGAGGGGAGATCGGTAGAATCTAACCTATAGATGCTCATTTTTATATTTCTCAGAGCCAATTGTGTCCAGTAGAGGACAGGTGATGCGATTTATTTCGACATGTCGAAAGCTTTCGATTGTGTTAGACATGATTTACTTTTACAAAATATCTATCTGCAAGGTTTAAGCCCACATCTGTGCGGATGGTTATCTAGTTATAAACGAGGTCGTCGAACCTCTGTTCGTGTTGAAGGAATTTTACTCTGACGAGTTTGTTTCTAAATCCGGGGTGCCCCACGGCTCCATCCTGGGACCGCTTTGTTTATTTTGTTTATAAAAGATATTATTTACCGTGTTAGCGGTGCAACAATTCTTCTCTTTTCCGATGATGTTAAGCTATTTTTAAATGTGAGTTCAGTACTGGATTGCACTGGCATTCAAGCTGACATGGAAAATGTTTCAAATTGGTGCTTCAAATACCACTAGTCACTTAATCCTGAGTAACCTAAACATAGTGTATTATCTAGAAAGCGTGAATTCATTAATTTTTCTTAAAAACTTGAAGGCGACTTGATACCCCGGCTATTTCTTGTAAGGTATCTTGGTTGCTGTATTGACAGTTCACTTTTTTTCAAAGAACACGTCTATAACTGTTAGTGTTGTGTTAAAAGTGTTAGGCATTATTTCTTGGTTATGTCGGCAGTTCTCATCACCCTCTTGTTTGTTGCATTTGTTTAAATCACTGGTTAGTTCACGGTTAGAATTTGGGTCGGTAGTTTGGAATTCATTATCTCTTAATCAGGCAGCGGAAATCGAAAATGTACACCAGTTAGCGATATGAAGGTGAACAGCCCTCTTCTTGTTTTTGACGCTCCTGCAAGTTATGGGATAAGCTCTGTTCTAGAAGAGGGCTAGAACGCAAAGTTTAGACCCCAAGTCACGTAACATTTGAGACGTTGAGAGTCAATATAGCTTTCGGGAACCGTAAAACAGGCAAGAAACCAGGTAAGGTGTTCAACTTCATATTGCCGGCGGCTGTACAAAAGCGGATGATGAGAATTGTATATGACCGGTATATTGGAAGGATGTCTTTTTATCACTATAAAACATTACTTCACCGTTTTGCATTATATGAACTTGCCGTGAGGAGGCAGTCCAGAGATTTTGTTTTTCTTCATTAAGCTGTTCATGGTCATGTCAAGTCAGGGGATTTACTAGGATCCGTTGACTTCCATGTTCCATCAAGGGCCAGCGGGAATGTATTAGCGTTTTATTCATCTTGCTTGTCCCCTGTATCGCATTTGTCACAGATTAAATTGTCCTTCAATAAGGATCACCACCTGAATATTTTCATGCGTCTTTGGGAATTAACCTTGCTTGTTCCTGAATGGATGTCTTTCACCTAGATATCTTAATGAGACCCTTTGTGGTATTTGTATTTAGTATGTTCGTTTTTGTGGTATTTATATTTAGTATTTTAGTGCACCACAATGGAGACTGAAAGGTTGTTTGTGGGCAGAGAAAATAAAGAATTATTATTATTAAAATTATTATTATTATTATATTTCTGCCGAACCTGCTATGGTGACCTCGCACGATGCTGGTTCGTTCAAAACATGAAACGCAATCACTGCTCGAACGGGAATGAATAAAAATAGGGTGATAGGAGTCAGCTGAGGATGTAGGATGACACCATTGAATTTTTGGCAATGAGGCAAAAGAATCATTCGCCATGAAAAAAGCCAACCATTATGTTTCTGTTCCATCACTCGTTTTAACTCGAGATGAGATGGCGTTTTTGTGTCCGAGATTGGCATAGCTGTTTGGTAGGGTTGTGCGAATAGTGGTTCGAATTGAAGAGCGCTGCGTCTTTCATAGCCTTAACAATGCAAGGGAAAGCCAAGACGGCCGTCTCTTCCAGTGAAGAAGCTAGGGATGACGCTGTGTTATTCGATTCGAACCACTATTTGCCCTACCGCTTGGCCATAAGTTTAGGAAGTAATGTAATTTTTACCTTCAGTTCCTTGTTTTTTCCTTCCTTTAATCCTCTAACCTTTTAAACTTTTCAAAATACCCGCTCTTTTTCGTTATTGTACCCTTTCCATGTCTCTTTCTTTTGTTTTTGTTTTTACGTTGGGTGTGCTTTTAAAAAAATCGCTTCAGCTTTATTCTACTGTTGCTTGTTGAACGAAAGTATAATAAGTCGTCCCTCGTCCCACCTGTGTCTTATTCTTTCGGTGTTCCTCAACTCAACCAACACCCTCGTCAGTCTACATTGTATAACCTTTCCCTTGCTGATGTTTCGACCATGCCCCAAGTCTAACTCTTCGAGAGTCGACCAGATTGACTCATTCAATGCGGCCTGTTTCATCTCCAGTATGTTTTTGCCGTCAGGTCAAACATCGCTCACTTAGTCTATGTCTTCGCAAAAAAATCTGTTGCACTCCGGAGCAGTCATGCCGTTTTAACACAATTTCCAAAAAATTTGGCGGATTTGTTTTTTGACAGAGAAAGAATTAGTCTAGCGGCTTGCGCATTTTTTTACGGGCCATCTTCATAGATTGCAGATTTCGGACGAATTCGGAAAACTGAATTTATTTGTCCTCTAGAAACACAAAACTTTAGACTTGCGCAACAAGGAACCCGGAGCCCCTTCCTCACCTGAAAGACTTCGTGACTTTTCTTTCAAGATGGTTCAAAAAGTCGTAATTCCAACAGTACAGACGGACGTTCTGACGTCCGGACATGAGTTCCATTTAGACCCCAGTTCATACTTAGTGAAATCGCCTATGTGGTAATTATAGTAAGAATGATAACAGGTCTCTTGGTGATGGTGGCTGCAGTCGGTCTCAGGAATACACACGGCGTGTCAAACTGCCGCTGATGCTTCAGAGAAATACTAAGAGGGAGCAGATGAAACAGCTACTTATAAATCGGTTACAAGGGGAACCAAATATCGTGACCGAAATCCTAGATAGCGGCAAAGAGGTTTAAGTGAATTTCTTTACTAGAACAGTCAACGAACAAGTATGTGGACGACTGGAAGTACCCCATTCTAAAATATTGTCTACAAAAAAGTTTGCTAGAACGGCAAAAGTAATAGCGCAGTAGCTTCCACCAAGGGAAAATTAAAGAATAAAAAAACGACAGGTTGAACAAGGTCTCCGTTTCTCATACGTAAGAGCTGTCCCAAAGGGGCCGTGAAATCTTTGTGCAAGCAGCTGCGAATGTGATCATAATGCGTGACTTTGCGGCAACAGTATCGAAAAGGGCTGTAAATGGCTGGTCTCCGATTGTAACTTTAATAGCTAAAAGGCTTGCAATACTTTGTGACAACGCAACCTGACCTCCAATGCCAAGGCAGGATGCATTCTTTAGTTTACGGCTGAGTAGTTGTGGAAGCATTCTTGAAAGGTGAGACGGAACTAGGGCGTCGAGAGTATGGCGAAGGTGAGCCGCATGGTGGTTATCAGCCGATGAGAAAGAGCCCGCGGAAGGGTAACAATCAAAAGGGGCACGGTTTTCGGGATCTGAAACGTGACGGAAATGGTAAGTTTGGATGCGGTTGAAACCAGTGTCGTCAAATGGACAGCGTCGTCAATGCTTTGGTGACAATAACAGGCAATTGGATCGAAGAAGTTGCAATACAAAATTACAAACGTTTACGCTTCTCTAAAATGCGAAATTAGAGCACAGATTTTGACGAATGTTGATTTTGTGATATACCGTGGTAGAAAATTTGAGAGAGAAATATATATATGATTTTTGTTTTTCAAATGTAGGCCCGGGAGGACGAGGAGGGTACGGTTGGTGCCCCATAATTTTTTTCAAGTGTAGGCCCGGGAGGACGAGGAGGGTACGGTCGTTGCCCCATAATGTAACGCGCGCGGTGTTTGTTTCAACGTGAAACGTTTTCGGCTAGTTGCTCCGGATTTCGTGGAGCCGCATCTCGCGAAGCCGTGGCCTGTGATGTCACATGACGTCACAGTTTCCTCACTAAATTTAGCTTTAAAATTGACGCCACGTGACCTCAACGCCTATTTAGTTTCCCCGCTATATTGAGCGGGGAAACTGAATTGGTGTTGAGGTAAATTAACGAAAGTTTTACCGCTAAATATAGTGGGGAACAGAATGTGCAGTGTTATATTATGGGACATCACAGACCTAGACACCAATGCAGTTTCTTCGCTAAATATAGTGGGGAATCGGTGTATAGTTTTGTGACGTCCCATAATGCAACGCGCGTAGTTACGCCGACGGCGACGGCAACACCGACGCCGCTATACGTGAAAACCGGCGCCTAAAAGCTGCGTTCTAATACCTACGGGGTGGTGATCTGTTCTTCATGTGTCGCTCGTTCAAGGTTGTGCGTTTTGTAGATGCATGTAGCAGAGTGTTTTCTGAAGCCTGCTTTAAAAACGGTGTCAGGTTTTGTGCTGCAAGATGCAGATTGGGGCAGGAGGTGCCGGTGTGTAGACAAGAGTCTGATGCGATTGGGCGGAGTGCAGTGCGAAGTTCACCTTGGAAGGTACTTTTGGAGTTCTCGGCGTCAGGGAAGAGCTGTCCCAATAGCCGGCAATCGAAGAGTCCGGAAGATGTCACACAGATCTTCGTTAATGATGTGTCTGATTTGACTTGTGAGGTCGGCCTTGGCAAATACATTCCAGGACGACACAACAAAAAGGCGGTCAAACGGTGATGCGGATGTGCGGTCACTACGAAGGGCTTTGTACTTGCAACATTCTTTGATCAGGGTTTGAATAGTTAGTGGTTAGGTAGGCGTGACAATAAAAAATGTATTCTCGGATAAAAGATATGGTGTATCTAATTGTTCTCAGATACGGTAGGATAGTAGTGGTTGCAAAACGAATTTACCAAAGATATCTGAAAAGGCTGCATTAAAGGGATGGTGAACCGAAATCTGGATTTCAAAAAACAATGCAGGAGTTGAAGGTGGGACGCTACAATCCCTACAACACTACTCGTAAGGCGATATCTCGAATGGACTGCCGTATTAATGGAAAAAGAGGTCGAGATTGAACGTGGCCGATGAAGTGCGTGACGCCAAGATATCTCGTTTCCTCCTCTCTTCGCTTCGCCCCCTCAAGGCGGCAAAGCGGAGACGACGTGAGGCCGTTCCCTCTCCTCTGAGAAACAAGACGCAAACATATCTTTCGAATGCGCCTCCTTCTTTCGAAAAATACGGTCATCCGTTCGAGATATCGCTGTAGAGTGATGTTTTGGTGTTTGTAGCATCCCGTTGCACGCCTTTGCCGCCGTGTTTTGTGAAATCGAGATTTCGGTTCAGCATCCCTTTAAAATTGTTTTATGATATAAAGCCTTCTTTGTGTTTGTCGCATAAATAAAGTGCTCTGTCTTTCATAAATAAAACGACGCTTGAGAGTTTCGGTGTCTCGTTCCATCGATTGTGATCGCTGACGCAATATTCATTCCTTAACCAGTCATGTTTTTCGGAGTCGGATATACCTGGAAAGCTGAACAAATCGCACTGACGGGTCTTCATCGGTACATTCACGGTGTCGGCGTTTTTCGTGTTTTCCGCCAAGATAAGTAGGGGGAAAAGGTAGTGTCCACTACGTGGCCCCGGAATAGGAATGCAACTAAGAGGTCCGAGAACGTTTGCAAACCTCCACCATTTGTAAGAATATTAGGAATACTATCATTTAATGTTGATACAATTCAAAGTGAATGTAGATAGGGTGGCAATACAGCCGTTCATGTGGGCAAGCTCAGAAAGCAGCGAGCTTCCGTGCCTTTCTCCACCGGGTTTGCTCTTCGTCCTTATTTTTCTCTAACAATAAACAGTGTTGAGGCAGTTGAGGCATTTTCCTTCGAAGCTAACATAAACATAAAAGTGTCCCATGTCCGCATATAAGCGAAAAAGGCTGTCACGTTTTTAACAAAAAAGCTAGACTTTTTACGTTTCTATTTTAATTATATTACTATTTAATATTTGCGGTCAGTCCAGGTGGACGCTGTCTTTTTCATAATTTGAGCTATGCTAATTTATTTTAGAATACAACATTAACAACACCCTGATTATTAACATCTAGAGTTTAGCCTGACCAAAACGTTTTGTCATAAAGTTCACTCAAACCACGAATACATTTATATCCTTACCTCGTCTGTTTCATTGCTCTCCACGAAGTCTTGAGCATCGGCTCCGGAAAAGTGTCGTTGAAGGCATGAGGAATGCTTTAGAAATTCTTGTTTCGTGGTCTCAGACCAAAGATTGGAATGTGATCTCATATGAATGTTCTTGGATTTGGGTCTGTACTCTTCGGGGTTTAGTTTATCCGGGTATTTACTTGGATAGTTATTGCTTGGCGTTGAACTTTGTTCATGGTTAAGGTTTGGTTCCTGGCTTGGCTGAGAATTATGGCCTAACTCATTGCTTTCTTTTGAGTCCGTGGCCTCATCTTGGTTTTCTAAATCACGAGTACCTGAAAATTAATTGTTTTTAATATTCTAAAATATTATTGAATAACTTAAAATAAGAACTCTGAAATATACGTGTATGTGGTTGCCAATTGTTCTAATGATTTCATATAAATATATTGTTATCCTTAGATGTTGAAGATCACGATTTATATGAACTGTACACTATCATAAAACAAATTGTTATTATTTGAAAGGTTTGAAATAAAACATTCGGAAACGTTTTCAACATAAATTTGGTGAGTCACTTGCATATTCACATCAACTCGTTTTGATCAAACTTGGAATCGTACGTTTAGAAGTAACGAAGAACATATATAGTATCTTATATTAAATAAGACTTTGTACATGAACATGTGCACAATCTCCGACAAATTCTTATGCTTTGTGTTTGCGATGATAAAAACTTTCACAAAAACAAACTCTGCCAAATTTTATTGCTGAGATTTTGCAACCCTCTCATTTTCAATGAAAACTGAAGCATTGGGTTGTGATATCTAAATTACTGTTAAAATGTCATTTTAAGCAAGTAAGACAGCGATTCATAAGATATAAAAGAAAATATATGATTTATCAAATTAACGTATTATAAATCATATAATTTATATAGGGTGTATATACGTTCGTAAATCGTGGTATATTCTTATATGTTTATAAAACACATTCATAGCATTTTTGTCACTAAGCTAGGACGTTGTCGTTTCATTATCCGACGCGTGCATGGTTACTGAAAACTAGATAAGTGCTACACGATACATGTTGTACACATGCTGCAAGATAAGGGCGCTTATCGAAACGCGGGCCAATTCGCTCTTGCAAAAAGTACGCATCAATGGGAAAAAAGGTTTATGTTCCATTAATTTCTACTGCAGGGTGTATTTAGGAAAATTAATATCGTTCGGTATAATGATGTGCTTAATTATTTCTTAGCAATTAACGTTCTTGGTACTTGAAAGGAATTCGCTTCCTGATAATATTATCGCTATTAAGAGATCACCCGGCTTCAGAGTTCTACTTGTAACTTTACTAAACACACATCAACTTTTTATTTTTTAAATGGTTTTATCCTTTGGCATTTGCTGTGTTTGATTCGTCTATCCTTATGCAAAGCCCTATGGGAGATTCAAAGATATACTACAACAAATAAGCAATGCAAAAAAAAATTAAAGACAGATTGATTGGAAGATCTCTATGAATGCGTTAGCATGACCCTTGGGAAACGCCACACCCGTCCCCATTTGGTAAACTCTAACACTTACCACTTCACCTTCCTGTTTTGAGTTTCTGTATTGGCTTTCTCTTTTGCTTCCTCTATTTGTTACTGCCTCTGTTTGGCTTCGTTCCGCGGTCAGTGTTAGCGTTTCTCCAAGGGGGATCTGTGCGTCGTATCTCAAGTGTCATGCTAACAAGTTCCCTAAGGATCCGCCAATGGATATTCTTTAATGTTTTTTTCCGCGAAGCGGGCTCGCCAAGCCTGCTTCGCCCCAGCCCCTGTAGCATGCAGACCCGCGTGGGAGTGCCGGTTCTTGCGCCGCATTTCGGCCATACGAGCTAGGCGCTGGTTCCGCTCCTCTGCCTCGTTCGCCCGCCTTACACGGTTAGCAGCGGCATCCGCTGTCTGACGCTGCTTTCGCCGTTTACCGGGTTCGCGCGAGCGCATTAACGTCCACCCCGTGGCGTCGTCCCCCTCTCTCCTTGTCTCTTCACTACTGTCCTCCTCTCTACGCGGCACGCTTCCCGTTCCACTCTTTTTACCGCAGACGGATGGCGGCATCAAATGTTCGCTGTCATGTAGGTGCTAGTGCTAACGCATTAATAAATGCCTCCCGCTAGAGAATTCCCGAACCATGCCTCCGACAGGAGAATGGTGTACCAAGAAGATTAGATAAAAAAAGCTAAGCACTGCCGTGATTCTAATCTAATAATAACCAGCGTAAAACACACGTTTTCAAACCGAGAGAAAAGTCAGCCGTTTTGAAAATCCCAAGTAATTAAAAAAAGTAACCGTTATTTTTCCAATTGATGGTTAATTATTTTTTACCTCGAGCAATCAAGTGATTCATTTGAACATCTTTCAACCGAGAGTAATTGTAATTATAATTTATTTGTATTTTTAGTAACACGTACAACACTACTCGCGTCTGTGGACCTGCTCCTCGTAGCAAAAAGTGCGCAACTACCACCTTGTCTCCCTCGTAAGGAGGGCAGGAAGTGGGCCTCTTGGGCGGAATAAAAGGCAGCCCTGTTCTAAGTACACTGTTATAATGTGTTTTATTTCTTAAATTCACCTCTGACATGAAAAAAAAGGGGTAGCGGCGCCTTTTGTTGCGCCCTTTGGCCATGACTTGCAAAAATTGCAAATAATTAAAAAGAAAACTCGAAACGCGTTTCCATCGGGTTATTTTGGAGAGCCGTAAAACGCTCAACTTACCATACAGCTTCTGAAATAAGTGTATTTAGTGATTTTCGACGATTTCAATTAATATTCTAACTGAAACAATGTGTTTTACTTTACTAATTACCAGATTGGCCAGTATTTAAAAAAAATGGTATTTGAAATCCGTATTTAAAATACTTAGAGTATTTTGTAATTCGTATTTAATTACAAATTGGATAATATATTTTTCAACTGTACTTAAACACTGAAAATATTGTATTTAAAATATTTATATCTGAAATACTGTCCTAATTCTATATATACACTGTTCTTCGCAATCAAATGCAATAGTGGGCACTCTTCACAACAGGAGGAAAATGTTACTGGGCTTTGCTAATAATAAAAATCGAAGAAAAAAGGAAAGACTACAACAAGGAATGAACGAGATGGGTAAAATTATCGCCTTTTTGGTTGACTGACTTAATAGTTTGAAACGTCGCATTAATGACATGTTCTTAATAATTATTTATGTTTTTTTAGATACTAGATTAACACTGTATACATTGCACCTCCTGACGTTGTAGCCGCCTATTATAAGACAAACGCCTATTTTTTAGAGCTGTAACTTTATCTTAAGTGCTTGATGCTTGGTATATATACACAGGGTTCCCCAAAAAACATTTACGGAGCTTTTGTTTACTTTAAAAATAAGCTATGCATCGCAGAACGCTAATTTTCCGCCCAAATGTAGAGCTAGAGATCTAAATCAGATGTCAGAGTTTGAGGACTGTAGTAACCACGACGAAGCACGACGATCGAAACCAGAAGAACATTTATGGCGTCCAGCTCGTTCTTAGGGCTTACAAAATCATGATGCCTCATGCGCGTGACGAACGCAGCCCATGTCGCGAGCGTGATGTCACAGCCCCTCGCGCTACTCGCTCAGCGCATGGTTCTCGCGCAACAACAATCTTCCCCCCTTAATGCGCGACCTGCTGATCACTTTCTAAAGTCTGAATGTTTGAACCGGTCAGGTGGGTGGCACACACAGGCACTTCGTCGTAACTCAGCGTCCGGCTGGTCTTGAATTTCTGCTGACGGTGACGAATCTGAAGGCGGCGTCGCATCAGGCCGAGACGTCACCGATTCAGTCCTCGAAGGTGTTGCACATGTCGCAATATTGGACATCGGTTCGTTGTCTAGGTCATGTGTTCTCGTCATCAAAGGTGGCTCGTGCTCTTGAGTCGCGTCCGATGTATCGTGTCGCGGAAGCAAGGATGAAGCTTCATCTGGTCGTGTCGAAGAACGGCGCAAGTGTTCAGCGTGCACAATTCCCGTGTGACTGGCCACACGCACAATATACGTAACCGGACTCACAATTTGTGTCACTTCACCGTCCTCCCAGGGAACGCTCTCACCCCGCACACATTTAACCCACACTCTTTCCCCCAGATCAAAAGCGCGGTCCGCGCCCCTGTGCTTGTCGCATTGCTGTTTCATGGTCAGCTGTTTTTCAGTCATGTCTTTACAAAGTTGGGCTTAATGAAAGAAAACTTCACTCTTGGTTGTCGTTTCAAGAAGAAACAAACTGGAGTTTTTCCAGCCACCGAATGAGGGCTATTTCTATAACCTATCAAGAAGTTGTCTAGTCCTTCTTGCACTGATTCTTTTTTCCCCGACTCAGCGTGAGACAACACTTGCTTTAGCAGTGCCCGCTTTGTAGCCTGCACAAGACGTTCGTCATTCCCTTTTGAAATTGGGTGGTAGGGCGGAGTCTTTTTATGTGTAATGTTATTTTTTGCCAAGAAACGTTCCAGATCCTGAGATACAAACTGTGGCCCGTAATCACTCACAATTTCTTCGGGGAAGCCGAAGTCAGCGAAGGCACTGCGAAGTTTTGTGATTGTTTGAGTAGCGGTGGTAGTGCTCACCAACCAAACTTCAACCAATTTTGAATACGCGTCCACTAAAACAAGAAAGTTATGTGGACTTTTCGCCGCGAAATCAATATGGATCCTCTGCTTACACCTCGAAGGGTATGGCCAAGGGTGCTGTGGTGTAGGCTGCGCTGACGGCTGTACGACCTGACACACCTTGCATTGCTTCATGTACTCTTCGACAGCTTTGTCTAATCCGGGCCACCAAATAAAGCTTCTAGCTAATATCTTCATTCGGCTGGTGCCGGGGTGGTCCTCATGAAGCAACGAGAGAACCGGTGGTCTCAAGATCTCGGGTACGATAACTCGCGATCCCCAAGTGAGACAGCTCTGCTCAATTGAAAGTTCGAGACGCCGGACGTAGTAGGTTGTAGTTCGTCTGCGACGTCTCCTGGCCAGCCAGATCTGGTGTACTCCAAAACTTTGCAAACTGTGGCATCTTGTGCCGTGGCTTTGGCCACATCTCAGGCTGTCAGGGGAGTGTACTCAAAAACCGAGAGACATTCAGCTGCCTCTTTGCTAGACGTTGAACAGACAGGTAGCCTAGACAAGGCATCAGCCACTTCTGTTTCTGTGCCCTTACGGTATTTAAGAGTGTACTGGTACGCTGACATAATCAAGGACCACCTTTGCATCCTAGCAGCTGCTAGGGAAGGAGTTGCTTTGTTTTGCCCCAAAATCCCTAGAAGTA